GCAATGAACATTGGAGCACAGATGTCTGGCTGTGGTTTGTTTCTTGCCTCTTCTGGGTATATTCCCAGTAGGGAGATTGCTGGGTCTTATGGTAACTCGATTTCCATCTGTTTTAGATATCGCCAGATCGATTTCCATAGTGGCTGTACATATTTACAGGTCCACCAGCTCCCTTACTAATTTTTTCAGCTTTTGCATACATGTGATGTGTAAAAAATACCATAGCTTGGGCCAGGAACACATTAATCCTTAAATTGATATCTTTGCTTTTTAGCATGTTAATAGAGGCATCATGCAGTAGATTTGCCCCAAACAATCTATTGCTTCGTTTCCTGATGCTTCCATAAGTGTTGATTATGGATCTAAGTAAAATAAAACCCCTGATGAAAACCCCTTAAATATTTCCTCATCTATCAGTATACTGCCTCTTGGTCCAGTTGTGAGGCTGATATTTGTGTGTTTGCATGTGCTGAGCTGTAATCCTTGCTGAAGCCGTCGTCTCTGGTCTTCCTCAGGGCCCATCGCAAGTCACCTTCCTTTCAGCAGTGAGAGTGTTCACAGGTGGCTAATTAAGCTTTCTTCAGGCATGATGCTTCATTATTCTTTTTTCACAAAGTCCAGCTTCTAAGATCATTTGCTAAGTAAACTTATTGAATGAGCATGGTGAAATAACGCACCCCGGACACACGCCTTTTCTAATTTTAAACCTGCAGGCTCTACTTGTCCTGTGTGAACGGCTGCCTGCTAGGATCTGTACAGGTTCCACAGGAGCACAATTAAGTGTCCTGGAACTTTCATTCTTCACAATGTTATCCGTAATTTCTGTTGATGCACACAACTGTATGCCTTCACATAGTCAATAAAAGACAGGTAAGCCTTTTACTGATATTCTCTGCCTTCAGCCATGACCCTTCTCACGTCGCCAATCCTATCTCTTATTCCACGTCATCTTATGGATCCAACTTGAATTTATGAGCGTTCCAGTTATTGTACTGCTGCAATAATTTTTAATTATCTTTAAAACCTTACTTGTGTATGATATTAATATATTTTCTATATTTCTGCATTCTGTTAGAACACCTTTCTTTGGAATGGGTACAAATGTGGAAGTCTTCCAGTCAGTTGGCCAGGTATTTGCCTTTCAAGTTTTGTGGCATAGCTGAATTAATTTTCTATATTTCCTGTATCTGTTGAATATACTAAAACTGGAACAATAGAGAAGACTAGCACAGCCTCTGCACATGGATGACACCTGAACTTTTGACTCGTTCTATATATATATATTTTTAACTTTGTGTTTTACTTTAAGTGAGGCTTTATGGAGGAGATCATTAGTTTTACATTCAATATTTTATACATCTTTTGTTTCAATTTATTCATTTTAATCCCTTCAACGTACCATTGCTTATCTGACTTCTTCTCTGTGTTCCACATTTCCTCCTTTCCCAATGGTCTATCCTTGGGTAAATGTATCATTCTGATTGGAAACGGTTGATTGGTTTTTCAGTTTCTAGACCTGAAGGGTGACTCGGGCCATAGACTTGGAGGACCTAAGAATCTGCAGCTTACAAATATGTCTGATGTGTTTCACAGGTTTTAGTTCTGCCTCACATTTTTCTTCCATTATATCTAGGACCTTCTAATGTGATCTCCTTAGAATGGTTGGTAGTGGTACTCCTCTATTCTCTGGATGGCGAGAGACCAACATTTGCCCCTTAGAAGGCTGCCCCCAAGCTTTGAAGACTCCAGGTGCTCCTGACCACCGTGGGTTGTAGCACATGGTCTTTGTGAACCATATGATGCCAATTGACCTTATTGTCCCCTGCCACTGCTGTGCTGCTGGTCCATTCCCTCAAGGGATTTGACTATATCTAAAAATGTTTCCTCCTTTATGCTCTACTACATTCGTGGATATATTTGCAGCAAAGGTAATATTTTTCAAACGCACTGGTGGTGTTTTGATTAAGCACTTAGCTGATAACCAGCAGGTTGATAGTTCAACCCTTCCAGCCACTCTACAGGACAAGCTGTTGACAAGGTGCTTCTGTAAAGATTTACAAACTCAGAAACCCTTTGGGGCAGCCCTTTTGAGTCGTGTATAGGAGATCTTTAATAACGCCCAGCATTATTATTAATTATAATTAGGTGGAAATGGATTTAATCTGAAGTTTAACTCCTTATAAAATAGGGGGGACATCCATTCCGATGTGGAAATGCACTATGGGAACTATATCATAAACTCGAAAGCCCGTGGAATGGCCTCATTTTCCTTTCATCTCGCGACCTTTTCATGAGTGTGGATATTGCTGCTGGTGCCCAGAAACACCAGTGTGTGCCTGCAGCTTAGCTACGGCCCTGCAACTGGCTTCCTTTCCTTTGCCGCGGTCCTTTCTTCCCTAACACTCACCAGACCTTCGGCTCAGAGTGAAGTCGGCCGCCAGCAATCGCGAAGGGAGCATTCGGCCTCTACACACTTCTTGGCATCCTTCCCGTCTCGCCTGCCAAGATATCCAAACCTGAGACTCACAGCCCCGCAGGTTTAACGATTCACTGACGGAAGCTTTTAGAAATGTGTGGTTTCTATTTGTGCCAACGTGGTGTTTTTCCTTTGGTCCCCATTTTCTGCAGGTGGTCCATTTAATTGAACTCCCAGCCACCACCTTCTCCTTTGATTTGGGGAAGTTACTTGTCTTCCCATGCATTTCAAATTCCTGAATCCTTCACGTTTCCTGTGTTCTCTCCTCCTCTCCTCCTCCCCTCATCCCTACCACCCCAACTCCAGTGCACACATTAAAAAGGAAAAAAAAATCCTGCAGAAGAAAAGAATGTTCACGAGTCTGAATCAACTCTGGCATCATTTATATCTGGGCAGCTATTTAACTCTGTGGCTGGAAATGGTTTGCTTCAACACCTGAGTTGGTTGTTTTTTGTCTGTTTGGTTTTTTTTTTGTAAATGACCTTATTTGAATGGTTCCATTTTGATAAATCCTTGAGTTCCTGCTGAAAGGGATCTGTAAGGCCCCTCATTTTTCTAACTGGTGACAGGAACTGGTGAAGTCTGCACGGGCCCAGTGCGGAGATGTTCGTTGAAGGAGATTGCAAGGAAGTTTCCAGTTGGGACAAGCCCCAGTTGGGGTGAAGGCCAGGGCAGACACATCACCCCTGTGATTAGGAGAGGAAGGCTCCCTGGAGGAGGTGACAGGAAATGCTTCCAGGCAGGAGTAAGAAGTGGGGAGGCCCACATCCGTGAGTGCCTTCCAGGTGCAGGGAAAGCACTGAGGCAGGCTGGCACAGACAAAAGAGGCTTTGAGTAAGTTGTCTGCGGAGGAGCTAAAACAAATACCCAGAAGGAGAATGGAAAGTGAGGCAGGGCCTCCGGCCTGGTGCAGGATTGTACACAGAGAGAGGAATCTAGGCTGTAGGCCGCACATGTACACAATGCCTGAATGGGTACATTAGCAATGCAACGTTGCATTTATACGTGCGTATGTCTGTGTGTGTGTGTGTGTGTGTGTGTGTGTGTGTACACACACATATATAATCTTCTTTCAGAAACATAACAGGTGTAGTTGTTATTGGTTATTGTTGAGTCAGCCCCCAACTCATGGTGATCCTACATACAAAGCTGCCCTGTCCCAAGCCACCCCCATAGTCAGTGGTGGAGCCAACCAGAGTAATCATTAAGGTTTTCACTGGTTAATTTTGAGAAACAGATGACCAAGTCTCTTTTCCTAATCCATCTTAGTCTAGAAACACCGCTGAATCCTGTTCAGCATCATCACGACCCACAAGCCTCCACCGAGAGACAGAGTAGCTGCTCACGAGATGCACTGGTCAGAGATTGAACCCCATCTCTTCAACAAAACATGAGAACGCTACCACTGAAGCAGCCCTGCTTCCTCGCCGAGCATATTTTCTTTTCTGCTGGCTGCATGTAGAGACAACATGAGTTGAGGGCTTTGTCTGCTGAGCTACTGCCCCTGAACATGGGAAGAACTGTCCAGTAAAGCTGGACTCCTGTGTTGATGGGGAGGCCATCAGGACAGATCAGGAGCTTATCAAGAAAGCATGTGAGTTTCCAAAGAACAAGGGTGAGGTTTGCTTTGGGGCTGAATTGTGGTTGGCAGTAAGGTGAAATAAATTACAGTGGCTTCTCTGGATTGGTGTCACCCTATGGAGTGACGTATAGAGCACCCCACCCCACCCCTCCAGACCTCCTCTGCTACCAGACCATCCAGCACCCTTAATGATGCTTCCTACCGATTTAGATCATAGAACAGTGCACAACAAATATAGCTATGCATTGCTTTAACGTGATACTTTTAAGATGAAATGAATACTAACAGCAAAATTGTTGTATGAACGTTTTTGACATTGAATTACATTATTAGTTATTGGTAAAGGCTCACAATTATCAAGTAGCACAATGTTGTACCTTAAACACCAGAAAATTTGACAAAATCAGAACTCTAAAAACACCAGCGGCAAACAACCATGTGTGCTTGTAGCGCTTGCAGATGAAACAGCTTAATTCAAAGTATCATTGTAATTGGGTAGTAATGACAGCTGTGATCGGGGTATATTGATCCCCAAACACACTCACTGCCACTGAGTTGATTCCAACTCATAGGGGCCCAATATCGAGTTTCTGAGGCTATCAATGTTTACAGGGGCTGCTGGTGGTTAGCAATCGACCGCTTACCTGACAGCACCACCAGCACTGAGAAGAAGAGTTAAAAGTAAATTAGCACAAGTAGGTCTATTGATACATGTACTCTGACTTTATAAAACATGTTTTTGTTGTTATATCTAATTATAAAACCCACTGTCCCCAAGTCAATTCTGACAGAGTAGAATTTCTCCTTAACGTTCTCGAGACAGCAAATTTTTATCCGTGCAACTTGCCTCAACTTTCTACAATGGAACCGCTGGGGAGTTTGAGCCACAACCCTCATTGTTAACCCACTGCTCCACCAAGGCTCCTTGAACTAATACAGGGATGTTTCTATGAAAATCTAGGGATTTCTGCTGAAACACTGGGCAGTAATGTCATAGACTATCATTGCGGTGTCACACTCTGCGGCCATCTCCCCCGGTGTGGACTGCACAAGTGACATCACGGGGTTACTGCGTACATGTGTACTAGGGAATGGTTTCTTGTTTTGTCTTTTTTTTTTCTTAAAGAATAGAAAAAAATCGCTGTTGACGTGATGCTGAATCACAATTCCTATAGTCAGAAGCCATGGTAGCATAATGGGTTATGACCTTACTAACTGTAAGGTTAACAGTTCAAATCTACTAGCCACGCCACGAAAGATGATGATTTCTGTTCCCATAAACTTTTACCGCCTCATAAACCCAAATGGACAATTCTAGTCTTCTCTGTAGAGTCAATATCAGTTGGAGTTGACACAATGGCTGCAAGTTGGTTTGGTGTTTGGGTGGTGTGTTTGGACTTAGGAAGAGAGAAAAAGGTTTCAGATGATGTAGGCAGGACTCCTGCGATGCAGTTGCCCCGTGCTGCTTAGACCAACCTTTTTCAAGTTCAGCTGAGAACACTCAAATAAACCCACGTCTCACTTAGCCACATGATCAGGTTGGTCATTATTCGGAAATCAGCGCTGTGTGAAAATGGAGTCTGACCCCGTCGGACCGCAGCGGGTATTGCCAGACTACATCAGTTCATGACTGCCAAATCACTGAGCAGGACGGCCTGGCCTTGTTGACACAGACCCATGACCAGCCTTCTTACTGCCATCAGTGGGCAAAAGAGTCAGAAGTAGATTTTGACGATGGCCGTAGATATGAAATGTTGGGTCCAGTGATAGAGGCACCCTTCTGAGATATTGAGAGTTGGGTTTCAGATCACCATAGGTAAGGACATAAAGCCAGTCAAACACTGTTTTCTTTTGTTGTTGTTTTCTAGCACATAGAAAAGTTCTGTTTGCACTATGCTGTAGTCTACTAAGTGTGCAATAGCACTAGGAAAAAGTTCAAAATAACACAAGAATTACCAAAATGTGACCGAGGCATGAGGTGAACTCATGGTGTTGGAAAAATAGCTCCTATCGACTTGCTCCTAGAAGGATTGCCACAAACCTTCAACTCATCAAATACGCAATATCTTTGAAGTGTGATGGAGTGAAGTGCAACAAAACGAGGCATGCCTTCAGTGGTAAATGAAGAGAACATGTGAAAACACGGTTGTCCTCAGTTGTCATGGAGTCAGCGAATGACGGTGACCCGCCGTGAGTCAGAGCAGAATTGTCCTCCTGGAGTT